ATTTTAATATTTAAATTTAATGTATGTCTGTATGATCTGTTTTAAATATCATTTAAATAAATTTCAGTGATTTATTTTAGTGTAATTACGTTTTAATTCATTTTTATCTTTATATCTGCATTAATTTTTTCGAAAATGTATACATATTATATAAGCCCTTGTTTTGCCATTCATTTAACAGCCCTCGGCGTATCACTTTCAATGGCAGCACACAGAACGTGAAGGTAAATGAGCAACGGTAAACTGTATCACATTTCAATGGCTTACTGCTAATTAACGGCACATTAATGTATTTCTTTGTGTCTTTTAAATTTTTTGTTGTTTTATTTTTTCGTGATATTCGAACTTTGTCAATCCGTACAATGACATTGATCAGCAATACATTGTGCTGATCCCATATTTACCGTTACAATGTTTTTCACAATATCCGTTTTTGTACGCTAACTTTTTGACCACATAAAAAAAAACCAAAAACACACTTTTACTTTGCTAATTGGCAATTTGCAGAAAATGCGGTTAAAATGCCTGTAACAACGAGACAAACGCTACAAACAAAAACATGCACAGCACGAATTGGCCTGGTTTGTTACACTCCCGCAATAGCTAACATTTGCTGCTCGCGCTCCCTTTCCGGAGTATAATGGGGCGCGCATGCGCAGAGCCAACAATTCATGTAGAGAGAAGTTTGTTTACGGAAAAAAATTGTTTTTTTTTATTCGTTCATTTATTTTCTAATATATGTAATATTAAAAATTTTTTAGTTGCAACATACTATAAATCCGCAAACATATATTGAATATAATTTATCATTTTGTTTATATCTTATTTTTTTAATAATTATATTTTATTTATGAATATCCTTTACCTTTTTATGTTTTTTTTTTTAATTTTTATTGTTTTAATAACAAATCGATTTTTCTTTTTGTTGGATTATGGAATTATTTTTTTTTTGGACTAGCTTTAACGATAAAGTATACAAAAATAGGAAAATATAAGAACTTGAAAAAGTATTAAAAACCATAAATTTGCTAGTAATAAATGAAATAATTATTAATTCGTTCATTTAACATTTTTTAAATTTTTTATATTCGTCATATTTTATTCATTAATTTTCTAAAATTACTTAGAAAATGTATAATTTATTGTTTGAATATTTTTGGTTTGTCATTTCATTTTTTTATTTTTTAATAATTATGTTGTTTTAGGCATATGCTTTACATTTTCGTTTACTTTTTGTCGTTTTTTGTTTTATTATTATTTTATTTATATATTTTTTTTACTTTTCTTAAACTTTTTCTTATTTATATTTAAATTCTTATGTTTTTTTTTGTAATTTATGCTCAATTATTAACTTAATTAATATACTATAAATCCGCAAACATATGTTTAGTAAATTTATAATTTGTTGTTTTAACAATTTTTGTTTAACATTTTAGTTCCTTTGATTTGCTATTTTTTTTTTAATTTCACTTTTGTTTCTTGTATTATTTAATTTA